TGCAATAAACAAATAAAATAATAACGGCGTACAATGGCCGTCAATTTATTATTCAAACGAAGGCGCTTGCTACAAAAAAAAGATAACACATAAAACAATTGACTTTCTGACTTATAACAATGATCTGTACACAGATGACAATTGATACGGAGGTCATTGATTTGCCGTGCTGGGTTGACAAGAGGGTGAGTAAAGCAAGACGATGGAGATGAGATGCCATACAATATAATACGACGATGTTTTATAACAACTGGTGTACTAGATCTTTGCTAAAGACGTTCTGTATCAAACACTTGCAATGGTAACGAACTTCGAGAACAACAGACTAAAAGTAAGCAACTACAATAAATACTACAAACAATTATCTTAAAAAACAACAATTTAAGAACGCACGAAGATACAAGATTACAAGTAGTTTCGTGAACACAAGTTTCCCTCCACTATTTATAAAGAAAACCATAATTTTAAGTTTAAATAGCATTTTTTGACAATTTTTTTTTCATTCATTTAATATTTGTAAACTTTTGTAAGATTCAGATTCTAGGTTATCTANCTTCCAAACTATTACTCGAATATTTTTACTGACACTTCTAAGTTCTTACATAAATTAAATTTCATAGTCATATAATCGATATGTGTATTATTAGATACTGTTATATTTTTTATAAATAAACAATAAACTTTATGCAGTAATAAAATAATCTTACAATCATTGTTTTCAAATCGTTAAATCATAAATGAAATAAACGTGAATAGGTACATGTTAGTACTATCTTAATTCATTATAGGTAATATATTAAATACTAGATTGGTTGGTAAACGGTTTATTACGGAAAAATACAAATTACCAATTTCAACAGCTATAGGTTAACCCAATAAATTTCAGTTTCAACTTAGTATGTGCTATATCGTTAATTTCTGATCGATGTTTTAAATTTTATCAATAAAATTGTCGTGAAATGATAAACATTATCCTATTTATTTATTTTTGTTTTACATTTATATTCTATTTTTAAAATGATAATAGTCTCGAGCCATATTTGTATGTTTATAACTTCAGGTATATGTTTATATGTGGTATGACTGTAGAGATTAAACAAACTGATAATAGTTATTCAAAATTTGTGTTTTATGACAAACGTACCTATATTCGATACCCACGTATTACTTTTTATTTTATTCTTTAGTCTATACTCTTTAACTATTTTATAAATACGTATATGCACTAATAAAAAAACTAATAGTGGATATACGCCGTATACCCGCGTATCACTCATGATTTTATAAGTATACGCAATAACAGAAAAACAAAGAAGTGGGTATACGCCGTATACCCGCGTATACGCTCCACAACACCTCTGCCACAAATAAAAAAAGGCAACTGATCTCTAATTCGTTATATTTATTAAATTAAATATTTGTCACTTACCAGAGCTATATATTCATTATTTACCAAGTAGTTAGTGTAGGTATATTTCAAAAAACGTGATTTTATTATTTATACTTTACAACCTACGCATTGATAATATATTATATTTTTAATAATTTTTTATTGATAATAACTAGGGCTCGGATATTATAGCGCTAATAAAAAAGATTTTTAGCGCTCTAATATACACTTAACAGTAAAATATGCAAATTACAATTTCAATACAACATTTTTTTAATAATATTTTTTTTAAATATAATAATTTAAAATATATGTATATTTTTAATGTTGTAATGTATTAATTTTAAATAAATTTAAATTAATTAATTAAAGAATCACACTGAATAATAATATGTTTTATTACATTTTCATATTTAAATGATCTACAGTTATTTGACAATAGTTTTATATGTTGAGAAATACTGCTTAACATCGAGAGACGTGACGGATGCGTATTTAAAAAATGATAGGTCATTACAACTTAAATCTTCAGGAAGACCAGATAAATTTCCTGATGTTTTTTCACCACTTAGAACTTTTGATATTTTTATTAATACGGCGAGATCAACATTTTTTCCAATACCTTATTGAACTTATTTTGAATAGCGTTTCCTTTTGGATCACTTATAATTTCCTACGATTTTTGGATATTCTTAATAATTTTGGTTGAACCGATAAAATGGTACATGTTGCTGTTGTAATTTTTCAATAGCTAAGGTTAAGGTAGCAAAGTTTGACTTAATATACGTCAAGTTATTTTCTAATCCAGGTTTTATGATGAAATCTTGGGTGACTTTATACTAACAGTATCGTTTTTGAAATATGAAAACGATACGATTGGATATTAACTCGAAATTCTTGCAATAATAAATTGCCGCGTTAATTCAACTTCCTCATCGAGTTATAAATGGCTCTGGGATTAAGGGTAGATTTGGCGTCTTCGCTTTAAATAAAAGTAAACGACTTAATATTTTTTTTCAAACTTTAAATAATTTTTTCTACTGCGTGAAATTGACTTCTTACTTCTTCTGCGACTCTATGAAGCCCGTGTACAACAAATGTTACGTAAATCATTTTTGAGTAAAGACTTTTTAGCACTTCTCCTGATTTAACCATGTAAGGTGCAGTATCAGATAAAAATAAATTAGTATTCTGAAAAGGTAGCTGTACTAGTGGCTGACGAGGAGTCACCCTTCAGTCTGCTACTTTTGATTTAGACCGTGCTGACGTGTCTAAAACCTACCCTTTAAATGGTTCATTAATTGGTGGGTTTGGGGGTGACCATTATACCCAATGGGTGGACTCGAGAAAAGCCAAAAACGACGTACTTGTCGTTAAAAGTATTAATTAATTAGTGTATTTTTTTGGGTCTACGTCGCGGAACTAAGGACGTACGACAATATTAAAATGATAAATAAATTTTTAATTTTAATGAAACTAGTGAACCTAAAATTAAATTCTTTAATTATTTGTCTATTTTTTAGTACTCATATTTTTTGATAAATTGTTTTATACAAAAATAAATAACAATAAATTCAAATTTATATTATTTAAGAAATTAAATTAAATTAAATATATATGTTATATAAAGTTGAATGTAATATATATAATTTTTACCCATATCTCCTATATATACATTTTTTAAAAATTCACAATCAAAATAAATAAGTGAAAGTTTTTTAAAGTTCTATACTTGTAGATCTCTTAATTTAATGTAATTACTTAAATTTCTTCAAATTATAAAAATAGTAATATATACTGGCGGCCAAAATTATTAGATCACCAAAGAAATTCGAATTAAAATTTCTGTCGATAATTTTTTGCAGGTGAATTATTTTTTCTTTGAATCTACAGCAATCATGTTTGTTAATATTATAATAATATTTAATAAACCAACAAGATATCAAATCTTATTTGAAAAAAATCTTAAAGTTATTGTGTGATCTAATAATTTTGGCCGGCAGTATATATNAAAATTTCTGTCGATAATTTTTTGCAGGTGAATTATTTTTTCTTTGAATCTACAGCAATCATGTTTGTTAATATTATAATAATATTTAATAAACCAACAAGATATCAAATCTTATTTGAAAAAAATCTTAAAGTTATTGTGTGATCTAATAATTTTGGCCGCCAGTATATAAGTTGCCATGCGTTACCTAGTATTAATACACAGGATGTTTATTGACAAATATAAATCAGTTTGTAGTTAAATTATAATGAAAATAAATTGTTTTTTCGTTTGTTTACAATTATTACAATCACATTATATTTGAAAAAAAATTTCGATACTTTAATTTTGCTATTAACAATAACAAAAAGGATGAAGATAAAGCGCTTTTATCGGCGGTTGACGAGATTTTTGATATGTTGTGTTTCCAATAAAAATAATCATAATAAAAGTGGTATAGTATTTTAGCTTAAGACGATAAACAATAAAAATTTTCTCGATATCCAGAGTTTCATAAAGTACAGAGAAACAATGCATTCATTTATATTAATATATTGTTTTCTGTTATTTAAATAAGACAAAAAATATGTTGAAGTGCTCGTCTTATCTTATTTCTTAAAATTTATGTAATCAAATATTGTGTTAAACTGTGTCAAACGCTTTAGCTAGGTTTAAATAGACAGCTGCTCATTTTTTAAATCTCAACTTAAGAATAATAAACTAATTGTGTCTCTCTTAAAAAGTTTAATCTGCGGAATTTTGGACATTATATTAAGATTGTATAAACAAGATTTGGTAATCATATATTTCGGATAAAAGTAAAATTTTAGTACCAGGAACTCATAAGATGACAACAGGTAACATCATTATGGGACCGTGCCATTGAATTATCTTGATAGCCACTATAAAATTCGTCGTCGAGAGACTAGACACCATTTCGAGACGCCTGAATTTATGAACGCATACATTACTCTTATGAATCCCTGGTACTGAATTTTGATATTTGTGAGATATAATCGATCCGATCTAACATATTATTAATGTTTATTAGTTGGTGCGATACCTCATGAAATCCTGGTACAAAATTTTTTTTCTTAAAACGTTTAATAAAGCGGGTAACATGTATTGTTTAAGCCGCTGATTTTATGTATTATACACGACAACTCATCAGTGGCAGTTACCATCAACCTAAAGTAACCTTGTAAAACGACACATTGCTGTGACCGCTGTTAGAAATTATATGTATTTAAAAAAAAAAATTATTCGGAACTTAAATTATTACATATTTTTATGAAAGCTTAAGCATTTTGAAGAGGTGATAAAATTATATTTTATGTACAATACCTTCATGAAAAAAGCTCCTCTAAGTCAGGCACGTAGACATGGGTGGCCCCCTCAAATTTAAAATTCAATTATTTTTACAAATTATCAAAAATGTGCTAGGCCTTATATATATTGAAATTATTATTAATTTGTGATTACTATTGAGTAATACAGTTATTATTATGGCTGTATTTTCATTTTTATATTCATAGAAAACGTTATTTGAAAAAGATAACGTTCTAAACGTAATAATAAATGGAATAGCAGTTACTCCAAACGTGGTGTAGGTAAATTTTTTTTAACTCTGGTCCAACAAATGATAACAAACTACCAAGTATCTGCATTGATTAGAATCTAGTTGATTACAAAATTCGATAGAGTATACTCTATGAAAATTTTTTTTGATAAATTTTATCTTTAATTTGTTTCTTTTTTTATAATTTAGTAATTACAATAGGTAATTTATTTGTTTTTGATAATTTTTTATTTGCGTGCTTTAAATAATAGTACTAAAATTATGACTAAAAAAAGGCAGGAATTGTTTTTAATTTTAAATAAAATAAATTTTACATTGTTTATAATTTATATTTATTTAAAAAATTTTTATAACTTATTTGTTATTAGTATTTAGGTATAAATTATTTTTTCTTAATAGCTTAAAAGTTGAAAAAATCAGCTTATGTACACATCATTATTTTATTAGCTTCTATGCGAAGCTGAGAAGGTATTTGTTTTACTATTTGTTTTTTTAATTTTTATTTGTGTCCGTTACCACTTTTTCTCAGTCTTACCGTACCGATTTCTTTCAATGATACGTCAAAAGATGACAAATCGTATCTAGTCGAAGACATTACCCTCAAAAATTGAAAAAATTTCCTTCGTTCCCCGTCAACGGCGGAAACCCCCCAATAAATTACAAATTTAAAAATCGCTAATTTTCGAAATTTTTTCAATTTTTTTTACTTAAAATTCCCATAACTTTTTTATATAGATGCATGATATCGTTACTTTTCATTTGATATATTTTTTTTAAAAATTTGACCCTTTACCTGCCCACAGATGGGATTTAAAATGACTACTTTTTCACAAAAAATTAACTTTTTCCACTTAAATTTTTTAAATGTTCCGGAAAGTCTGACACTTTTATCTATATCGTAAATTAAAGCTAATGTAATGTACTTTTTTATTTAAAAAAATTTCGGACTTTATTTTGTCTTCATGGTGAAAATGGCTACCAAGTGCTATTCTTGTGTGAAAATTCTCGATTTTGTATTTTGTATTTTACATTTTTAACTTTTTGAAAAATGTATGGATCAACACAATTTTTTTATGAGAAATAATATTTTTTAATAATCCCTTTTTCATTCGACATACTTTATTTTAATCAGGATATTAATAAGGAAATAGCAGATCATGTAACTTTTGGAATAATCCACCAATTTTTTAAAAATAAACATAAATTTTGAACTTGTAAGATTCATAGAATGGGATACTGTCTAAGGAGGAGTGGAGGGAAACAAATTATGGAAAATGATACAAGGGCCCAAAATTGTTGGCACCTCCAATAAACATTTTCTGGCTACGTGCCTGCTCTAAGTACACTACTTTGTTAGTTTGCTGGGAGCAATGCTTATGTTATTCGGTGATCCAATCCTGATTATAATCACATCCCAATTGTCAATTAAATTAATCTCATTAATTTTCTAAGAACTACAATCCTCTAAAATATACTGCAGTAAAAAATGTTATATTTTTCAATATTATATATATTTAGGGTATTAAAATTTCTCGAGATTTAATTTTTTCGTTTATAACTTATTTTTTCAGTAAAAATTTGAAAAATCTGTGTGTAAAATTACTTAATAAGATACAAGCTAAAACTTTTTCTAAAGCTGGTAATGTACTCATATATGTTTCACATGTTATACGAGATTTAGCGATTTCAATATTCATGAAACTATCATATTTAAATTTTTAATTGAATATCTATAAATTAATAAAATTTAATACTAATAATTTATTTTAATTATAATTAATAACACTGGTCAGATCAATACAATCAAATTTCAATTGATTCTTTGTCTTCATTTCAAATCTAGTCTTATAAAATTCTATCAAAATATTATATTTGAAGGTTGCAATTCTGTACTGGTGAATGTAATCAACAAAAATAATGGTTAAAATGTTAGATTAATATATATAAATAAATGTAGGTCTAGTAGAGTTTATACATAACTCTATCAATAAGAAAAAGTTTTGATTTATAGCAGTGTTGTTAATAATTAATATCATTTTTAATCATCTGCATCAATTTTTAAGTACATTCATTTTCATATTTAATGAATTGGAAAATTTTTATTGCTATTAATTAAAATAGTTGAATAAATTAACATACAGTTACTATATTTTATTTATATATTTTTAAATTTTTATCTATAAAGCGTTTTTATTAATGTTAATGTATAGTTAATGACCTAATACTTTATCTGTATATTATACAAATAACATTTCAATTTTAGTATAATAAATTGTATTATATTAAATGAGTTAATAACAATCATTTGTAAATTAAGTGTACTTTAAAAGTCAAAAAAATATCATATTGGACTTAAAGTCTAACAATACTAATAATACATTTTTAAATATTATTAATTAGAAGTTGTTGAAATGAAAGAAGTGAGTTCCGCATGATTCCCGAGGAGTTGCAAGGAGATGCGCATAATCTATGCACTCCTGACATACCCCTAGGAAAATTACACTAACAAACCTACGGCAGAGTTTGAAGTAGCATCTGTAGAAAGTGTGTTGAAAAATAATCAAGAGAGACAAGAAAGCATTGAACACAGTGTAATTCCTGAGGAGTGTGAGGAATTGTATGAAGACGTGCGAAATATTTGCACTCCTGGCATTATAACTGAGGAAAATTGCACAAATGATCGCAAGGCAGAACGTGAAGTATCGGCTGTTGAAGGAGCCTTCGTGAAACGCGTACGATTAAAACAGGTGTTGTACGATTTTTTGAAAATAATAAGAAACTTGGCAGAATCATTTCATATGATGGAAAATGTTATACTTTCAAAAGAGTAAGCACATTATGATATGACTGGCTCCATGGTAAAATTACGTAATCGACACTTTGAATTTAAAGTTTAAACGTATTTTAAGTGTTTTTAAATAAAAAGTAGGGTATTTTTGACTTCTTTCAAAATAATTTTAAAAATTCGACATACGTGGTTTTGGTATGAAAACGATTATACATGTATATTAATTAGTTCAAATAAATATAAACAACGCTAAAATTTAAAATTTTAAGTTTTAAAGTATCTTTACTTTTTAGGAATATATAATTAATTTCAATCAATATTATAGATCTCCTCAAAAAGTGAAGTTTGTCGTTTATGATTTATACCCAAATTGGGCGTACGAAATAGAGATAATGGGAAACCCATATGTCCAACTGTAATTATAAAATGGTGCAACAGTAGAAATAATTAAATTAATATTGCATTTTTTTTTTTAAATTCACAGATGCTATTATTGTTTAAAGAATAATCATTTTAAAAGGAATTGTATGCAGTTAAAGGTTGATTATTATAATTTTTATTATCCTTTCATAAAAATCTAAAAAAAATTTAACTTCGTCAAAATTTCTAATGTATACTGTACAATAATTTATTTTACAAATATTTCATTTGTTACTATTTACAAAATATGAATAAATTATTAAATAAATTTATCTCTTTGGAAGATATATTTGTCATTATATTATTCAGAATTTGCTAATAAAAAAAATAACTTGAATTTTTATTCATATTATTGTTAATATTGTTTAATACTATTTATTATGTTTAAACGTATTGTAAGAATTTTAGTACGATTTATTTTTTAATATACTTAATAAAATAAAACACGAACTTTGATATTAATTTTAAAATGGGTTAATAATAACTAACATCAAATTTTATTGAACATAAACAAGTATATAAAACAACCAAATCTTAACTAAAATGAACTCGGCAATTTTGTGGAATTTCGCGGTTGCGTTGACCTAACAGAAAATAATCAAGTCAAAAAAGGTAATTTTTAGTTAAAATATTACTTTTATAAAACTTTAAATGTAGTAATATAAAAATAAGCTAGTATCTTGCGTATATCAAAGTTTGGTTATTTGAAGATTTGGTCAATTCGTGAGCAACGAGGTTCTATTGGAGTTGTAGAGTCCGAGGGTTTAGCATAGTAAAGACAAGTAGATATAAAAAGAAATGATTAAAGATCGTCTTATAGACGTATTATACGCTGAGGTATTCTTGTAGTGGCAGAGGCCTCCTCTCTGATACTTAGTCGAAGTATATGACCAAGCACTAACTAGTTATAAATAAGTAAATTAAATTATTTTTATATCAATCTATTGCTTTACCGTTTTTTATCTAGATTATTAGTTCTAAATAATTGGGATAATACAAGTTGACTAACTTACTTCTTGTGACTCAAAATTGTTCCAGATTCGAATTCGACAAAAGCGAACTGGACTCAGAAATGAATTCAATGTTTTTATAGTGTGTGGTAGTACCCCTAAACTAGGGATATTGTTGTCAGCGCTTTTAGTAATATTTTTAGTTTATTATATTTAATTATAGATTACATGATTATTATATTAAAATAGCACAATTAACAATGGATAAATTGACATATATGTAGATAATAAGAAATTGTGTGGAATAGTGTAAATGTTTGTTTATAAGTAATATAAAATACAGATTAGAAATTTTTCATTGAATAATGTAAGCTGTGTAATGCAAAATGAGGGGCATATTACGACATCCACCTAATTTTTTAAGTCTTGTGTCCTTACAAATATTGTTTAATATAGTCAAAAAACTGAATAAATATAATAAGAATTGTATAATAGTAGTCAATTAATAAATTTAGTATTTAATATGTATAATGATTAAAAATTATTAATGTGAATATTAAATATTGGTACTTTAATAATATACTACATAATATGTAGACAATTATTATATTCTTCAATTTTTTTTTTCTATTATAAATGACTTTACTTTAGGTTAATTAATTAGTAATATTAAAGTGAAAATTATACAACCCCATTTTAACCCTCTTTAAAAAAAATTAAATATTAGTGTTAATTTTAAATATTTTTATAGAAAAATTTTTACAGTTTTTAATGTGTGTCTAATAAAAATATTCTAATTACCAATAGCCTATAATGGATTATAATTTTAATTTAAAAACTAAAATTATAATTAACTAACAAGGGTCAGAATAATCAAACTTTTTTTTTTTTATAATCCATACTTACAATTTTAATATTTTCCATAGAGTTAAAAAAGTATGTAACAATATTATAGTTTCACTGTAAAAATTACAATACTAAATTTAATTACTACATAATGTAACAAACATAAACATTTTTGATGCTAATTTTTATTTCTTTTATAATTTGTTGCTTTAAAGTTATATTTATAAAAATTATTTAATTTTACGAAATGTTAAATTAATTCTAACTTTTGTTGCTGCTTTTTCCTTAGGTAGTGAATGATACCAGTACTCATTAGTTGGCCAGTTCATAAATAATAAACTACCATGATGTAAATGAAAGTTTATATTATCTATTTTACGCAGCTTTTTTTTAACATCTCTATGTTTAAACACAAACTTTCTAGACTGACCTAAAGATAGTGATGCTATCGGAACCATTTTGTCAAGTTCTGGTTCATCATCTTTATGTTCACCCATGTAATCATCACCATTCTTGTATCTAAATAAATATAAATTTCATTTAAATAAAATATTTAAAAAAACTCATAAAAATATTTATCTTACCTATTTACTAACACAAAGTTATAATCAATTTTTTGCTCAAAACTAATTTTATTTTTTAATTCTAATAAAGGTTTAGGCCATGGCTGTGCTGGGATAATAATGCCAGAATACTTGTATGTAACACCATCATCCCCAAATGCTACTTGCTGTCTAGGTATTGGATGGTAAACACCAAAAACTTTTACATAAGTTAGTCTACCATTTAAGTATGTTATGTTTTTTTCCATGTACTCCAAAAGAGAAGATGCTTCAATGGACGTCAAAAATTGTTCACAATAATCCAAATCTATATTTTCAGCAGTTATTTTCTTCCAGCGAGTTTGTTTATCTTTCATCATTTTATCATACAATGACATAATTTAACTTTAAACAATTGAATTGATGCATAAAAGAAGACCTAAGGTGAACAATAGTAGGCAAGGGCTACAATAAATGGCTTTATACCATGTTGAATGTTCTATAATATTGTCATTTTGACACATAAAAAACTGAAATTTAATAGCCAAAATACTCGCCACTCCTACGATTGATAATAAATAAAAATTATCATTCGTCTTACACTATCATTTTATAAATAGCATAATACCTACAGTATAGAGATGGGAAGTAACAATTAGTAACAGTGACTATAGGAGCAGTATATTTATTTTATCAATAGTCTCGAAATAAATTTCAAAATTTTCCTGCATTGTTGATCTTTATTGAATTATAATATTAAAATTATCTATAGTAGCAAGGGTCGCCATTACCTAAGCGAGGTGTCACATCTATCAGATATGATTACCAGACTATAGGTGAATTTTAATTTAAAATTAATTATTAGTTTAATTTAAGTTAATATGCCGTTATATGAGTAAATGATTATAACACCTCGTAGTTTATTAACCACAACTATGATAATTGAAGTTGTATGTGGTTGTAAAACATACCATAGACCGTATCTAAATTAAGGAACACAGATAAAATATACTACTTAGATTTCTCGGGCAAAAATATAAATATTACAGAGCGGTCTGGACACTCGCTTCTTAACGCTGGATAAAAGAAAGAGGAAACAGGTGCTCTCTACACATAAACAAAATTAATTTAATTTATAATAAAATTTAAATTAAATAAAAAAACAGCTCATTACATAAATATAATTATAAAAAAGCAAACGATAACCGATCTCCGAAGAGACCCATTCGTTGGCTTGGATGCTTCAACGAAAAAACCTGGCCGTTGGCGGTTCTACTCCATTATTGAAAAAATAGTGACAAAAAATCAACCAACATGTAGACTCTAGCACTGTCGATGATAGAAGCTATATGAAGAACCAACATCGATCTACTGGCAATTTGAAATCAATAACGGCCAGTCATTTTGGAATGGATTAATACCAATAAACAATTCGATTTTAATTATATTTATTCTCTTTTGTCGCCTTATCTAGCGGTTAGCAGCAAAAATAATGAAATGTTGACACCGCTGTGTCAGAAAAAAGTTTATTTGTGCAATTTCTTGTGCGATAAAAAGTAGATAAGTAGACATAACAAAATTTATAAACGATCCACCTTCGAATTTGTGACGTATTTATATATTGATCTTTATTTATTTATTATAAAATATTTTTTATGATCGTCCCTTATGTTTTAGTGATATCAACTTTATTTTGTGAAATGACAACATGCATATTTAACTAGCTTATAAAAAAGAAAATTGTTACCAAGAATATAAGTGGTTGAAAACTATTTTAAACTAGTATTTCAGAATGTAATTTAAGTTAATAATTTAAAATATTGACTAGAAGCCTGAATGTTGCTACTTTTAGACCTTTCTTAGCTTCACTCCCCCGCTTAGATATAAAAATGTATTCGACTAATCTATTTCTTAACAACATTATTTTCTACTGAATAAGCTAATTAATTGTGTACATTACTATTTGATGAATTATTATAATTTGATAGAAGGTACGCATAATAAAACTATAAGTCTGAGTGTAGGGGCAGTTCTCCAAACCTCTTAAGAGGTGTTAAATTTAACAACTAAAACTTAATTTAAACAAGGTGTCTATGTATACCTTGTATTTTGAAGAATAATGTGGCCTAACTATGTAACTAATGCGATCAGAATATATGGCAACTTACAGGGATATTATATAAAAACGACTATATCTCAAAAATAAACAAGCATATCAAAAAAACATAAAGGACTAATAGTATTTAATATACAAAAAAAAAAAGATACGGTGAGCTACTTAAATTAAATTTTTATCATTCTATTGTATTTGTTTTTTATTCTAAACAAATAGTTTAGTGTTCAAAAATTTGAAAAAAACTCTTAGTTTAAAAATGATTTCAAGTTTTGGAAAATATTTAAATACTACGCCTGTAGGCATATTAACATTCTGCACACGAAATGTAACCCAGCAATAAATTTGCCTCTCTGATTGGCTACTCATTATTTATGATAACAGTTGATATCAGTAAACTATTATTATTAATATCTAGAAAACACTAATTTTATAAATTATTTATAAATATATTATTTAAAAAATGTAATAACAGAAATAAATTAGTGCGATTTTGCATTAGGCGTACAGTTAGTTATGTTTTGAAGTATATTTCTTGGTTTCTTCTTAAGGCGATTGTTTTCTGAAATTGCTGGTCTACTTAAAAATAAAAGTAACATGTTTGTTTAATTGACAAATGGTATTTATAAATTATACTCACCTGCCAAAAGACGTTTGCTTCCTTTTGTTATGTTTGGTTTCCTCCTAGAAATAGTGGTTGGCTTAACTCTTATTGTTGCACTATCTATTAGTCTTTAAGGTAAAGAGGTTCCTCCAGCATTGGCTAAAAATGTGTTAAACTGCCCTTCTGATTTTATTTTTTTAAATCTATTTTTAAATTTCAGTAAATTTTGATTGATCCTCCATACTTAGTATTATTATTCAACAAAATTTGATTGATTTCTTCTATTATTGGCAAACAAGTCTTTTCTGAAATAGTACTTTTTTCTTCAACCATATTGCCAAAGATGCTATTTTCATTAATATTGTTTTCTGTATTTTCTATTACATTTACTGGTTTTAATTTAACTTCTTCAACTGTCAATGCATTTTTATGAATAACCTCTGATGGTAAAAGACCTTCATAAAATGATTTATTTGGTGTTTTATTACTTAATGCTAATGGTGCAATTGAATGTTTATCCTCTATTGTAATAGGAGGGAAATTAACTCCAACTTTATTAAAAAACTTGTATACAATACCTTGATGTTTACAAAACTTTCCATACATTCTAGCTGTACACGAACAAATATCTATAGATGGCATAACACAATACATCAACTGTTTATTTTTTTGGCTTGGTACATAGTATTCTTCATTATCCACTTTAATATCTTCTTGGGTCACATAATCAGTTAATTTTGTAATTTTTTCAAAAAATTTACGAGCAGTTGCATTTCTATCATTAGAAAACTCGAGAAATTTTTTTCTATAATAATGTTCCAAATTGGTACAACAAAAATCAATAATTGAAATAACATTGTATGCTTTAACTCTACTTAATACATTTTCCTAAAAAATTCTCACTGAAACTTCACTAAAGTTGTTAGTGTGGTGGCCTCTATTTATGTGATCTCTCCACACTAAACATTGTATAATAATTAAAAAGAATGTATTAAATGTAATATAAATATTATAAAAGTAATTATTTCATATGTTGTTCATATTTTACCATATGAACCCCTTGACCAGTACGCGGACCTAAATTTAAAATCCTCCATTTATCATGCCAATTCTGTATAGTTCTATATGTTGGGTTCAATCGAGCGTTTGCAAAATCCTCATTGGAATGATTATTCATTGCCATAACACTCTCATGGTAACTATAATAGAAATTATTTTTGAAATATTAGCAAAAATCCTTAAAATGTTGCATTTAAAACTTTAAAAAAAAGTTTTTATTTTTAAAACTACTTAATTACATAATTTTTAAATTCTGTATTTTTATTTTATGGATTACATTATGCATACAAACCAAATAGCTTCAGTTATAGTCATTCCATCATTAAAATATTCTTCAAAATTTTCTCTGAAATTAGGAAAAGCATTTAAGCATTTTAAAGCCTCTGCTGTATTTATGTTGTGATTGTGTTCATTAAAAATTGTAATATCACCTAATAATTTTTCCTATCCATACATAAAATAGTTAATATAATGATACAACTACATTTAAAAAAATGATATTCTCACTACTTTTTATCATTTTCAAAATTTATAAGTATTTTTTTCAACACTAACTAAATGTAAAACTGTCTAAATTTTGACTTAACTTTAAGTGTATTGTTTCCTTAAATGGATTATACAAAGTCACATTTAAAAGTATGGAAATTAGTGTAGCAATCAATTTCAAATATTATTAAAATAGTTAAAAAAAGTCTATTATATTTTCTACATTATGTTTGTATATACTAACTTTAATGTAGGGATCAGTTTTTCTAGTTGAAACAGAATCTAGCTTTACCACAACTTTTATTTTGGCTTTACACTTAGTGTTTTTAGATTGTCCTCTTTTATTGTGTTCTTTGTCAACTTTATGGTAAGAGCTATGATGACATATAAATAATTTTCTATGAAACAGTTTTAAAATATTATATTAGTGTTAATTATTTATTGTATTAATCATAATTCAAAGAAAAAATTTATTTACTAACTTGCACTGAATGTAAGTTCCATTTGAAACAGAAGAACGGACATTCCATTTAGTATTAGTATTTAAAGAAAATTCATAAATCCAATTACTAATACTTGGTAAATCTAAAATATTTGACCTAACCAATGTATATTTTTAGTTAGATTCAATAATTTTATTGTTAAATGACGAAGGAAGGTTTTCAGAACTTATAACTGGATTCATTTTACATACAAATATAAAGGAAATATTACTAATAAATATTATAATAATAATTATATATAAATAATAATATATGAGATAATTCAAATATGTGCATTAAATTTTACTTAGAGTATTTATTTGTAAAAAGTTAATCAATTAACTCATACAAATATTTGTCCATTGTTTAAAACAATTCTTTTAATCTTTTTTTAAAACAATTATGAATTAAGGCGGCAAAATTCAAATTGTTATCATAAATAATGTGTAGCCAATCAGAAAGGCAAATTTCTTGCTGGGTTACATTTCGTGTGCAGGATGTTAATATGCCGCCTGTAGTTCGATTCCACCAGTTACGCAAATTTTTACCACTAGGTATCGTTCTGTTTCATAAATGGACGGTAATTATATGTAGTCGATACTAAGGTTGTTAGTAACATTATGATAACAATTTAAGTATTAGTAGATAACAGTAGAAAATATGTAGTTTATTGTTTTTAAATTTATTTGTTTATAAGAAAATATTATAATTCATTTACTTCTGCTGTGGTATGGCTAATAGTAGAATTAAATCTCTTTTTCCTGATTTGGGTAAATCCACTAAAAGGGGTGTAAAGAAATGTTTATCATGCGGAACATATAATGGTACTAGGACTGTAGTTTGTAAGTCATGCTATAGAATTCTTAGGTCTAATAGTAAAAAAGTTTCCACGTCAAAAGTATGTCAATTACTTACTTCTTGTTCTTTTCAGGTATTAAATATTTGCCTAATCTCCATCAGTAGTGTAAATATCAATTTTTAAATAGTTGTCTACTTACATATTACATAAATCCTATTGTTGAATTCATTTTTATTAATTTTGGGAAACAAGATTTTTCTGATGCTTATCTGGTACTTACGCTACTGACTATAAAAATTAGCTGCTCTCATTATAGGAACATCTTGTATTTTAGATTTTTTCTTATACATCGTTTGAAAATGCAGATTTAAATGAAAGAGGTTTTGTATATTTTCCTGAAGTTAAAAATAAAATAAATAAAAATAAAATTGAATGTGGAATTTGTTTGGTACAATTTTGTATTAAGTCATCTACTCAAAAAATTCAAGTGAGTTTGATATTTTATTAATTTATTTAAAGAGAGATAGGATAAGTGAGACTACTGCACATTTGAATTTGATAACATTTATAAATATTCATTAGAAGAAATATCATCAAATCTATAAATTGTTCTCTTTTCATAATTTTTATGCATGTAGCTCTGATAAATATAGAGGTATTAAGTATCACATGACATAGTCTATTATTACTCACTTTTATAAATTTGATGCCATATGATACAGATTTAAATAATTAAAAAAATATTCGATAACTTAGATTATATAATAAAAATATAGTATGTGTTTAGCGTTGATAATGGTAACATTGTTTCCGAAATACGTATCCGCGACTTTTCATTAATTTTTTATGGCTTTGAGTTTAATATTTTTATATTTTTTAGTTTTTTAAATTAATAATATTTTAAATATAGTTTTAATTTTACTTAACTTAGATTAATTTGCAAAATTACACCTACATTTTTAAGGACTAATGTGACTTTCCTATTTTTTTACTTTATTAAGGATGAGAAGTTAAGTTTTAAATTATAATTATTTAATAGATGAATAATACACATAATTTTATGACCACTTAAATACAAAAAATAAGTGCAAAAACTTATGTCATTTTACCTTAAACATTTTTGTTTATAGATAAGTATTAAGATTAGTAAATGATTATTTTTTTAAATGGTATTAAACACATTTTTGATAATGTGTGACTATATAATTTTTATTACTAACAATTTATACAACATTATGAATTTGAATAAGCATAATTTATGAACTATAGTATACATATTTTCATTAACCGATTAAAAATATCTCTCTGTTGAAGTAAAATGAGTATAATAATAGTGAGTGTACTTGACTTTGAAACATAAGAATGTTAAAAGTTTTTAAATTTAATGTATCTAGGAGGCAATAGGCAACAGCTAATGTTTTAGGCAGTGTTGTTAAAATTACTTTTAAAAAGTATTTAGGTTATTACACAAATACTTTTCAAACTATCTATCAGTAACCACGCTGCAAATTTAAGACAAGTATAAATGATATCTGACAGTAATTAGATATGACAAATATGTGGTTTATTGTTAGTTTCTCATATTTTTGTTGCTAAGAATAATTCTATTTTCTAGTAATTTTCAACTTTAATACTCTTTTATTAATTATATAAGATCCCTATAATGTGTGATGGCTTTTAAAATCTCCCAATATTATATATGGAGTTGTAAATCATAAAATAATTTGTTCAATATCATAATTTAAATATTTTTTTGTTGGTTTTTATACATTTTTTATCTTCGATGCGAAGCTGAGAAGGTATTGGTTTTACTATGATGTGTTTTTTTTTTTTGTGTCTGTTACCACTTTTTCTCAGCTCTCACCGAACAGATTTCTTTAAACGATACGTCAAAAAATCACAAATCGTATTTAGTCGAAGACATTACCCTCAAAAATTGAAAAAANAAACGATACGTCAAAAAATCACAAATCGTATTTAGTCGAAGACATTACCCTCAAAAATTGAAAAAAATTCCCTCGTTCCACGTAAATGGGGGAAAACCTCCAAAAAAATTATAAATTTAAAAATCACTAATTTTTGAAAATTTTTCAATTTTTTTTTTACTAAAAACTGCCGTAACTTTTTTAAAAATGATGGAATCAATATAATTTTTTTTTTTATAGATACCTTAGATAATTACCTATCATTTTATATATTTTTGTGAACATTTGACCCTTTAACAGCCCAAAGGATGGGGTTTCAAAATGGTAACTTTTTTACAAAAAATTAACTTTTTCAACTTAACTTTTGAAAATGTTCCGGAAAGACTGACAATTTTATATATACCTTAAATTAAAGCTAATGTAATATACTTTAATTTGAAAAAAAAAAATTTGACCTCTGGACTTGTCTTCATGGTGAAAATGACTACCGTATGCAAAAATATGCTATTTTTGTGAAAAAATTCTTGATATTATATTTTACATTTTTTAACATTATGTTGCTATAACTTTTTAAAAAATGCATGAATCAACTTTATTCTTTAATGATAAATACTTTATATATACTTCTTTCATTCGACATACTTTTTTTTAAAATCGGACCATTTCCCTTTATACAGGGGGGGTGCAAACCTTTTAAAATGCGTATAGAAAGTAGAACTTTTTCAACTTAACTTTTGAAAATGTTCCGGAAAGACTGACACTTTTATATATATCTTAAATTAAAGCTTATGTAATATACTTTAATTTGAAAAAAAAAAATTTGACCTCTGGACTTGTCTTCGTGGTGAAAACGGACATCAAAGTTAAAGAAAAACGTACGATTTCCGTGAAAAAAATCTCGATTTTATATGTTATATTATTTAATTTATATTTTATATAACTTTTGGAAAAATGTATGGATCTATATTATTATTTTTTTATAATAAATATTGATATACCCCTTTCATCTGGCACGCTTTTTTTGTAAATCGGATCATACCCCTTTAACAAGGGGGGTCAAAACTTTAAACATGCGTATTGTTACTACGATATTTTCAATTTAATTTTTGAAAGTATTCCGGAAATACTGACACTTTTAAATATATCTTAAATTAAAGCTTATGTAATATACTTTAATGTGAAAAAAAAAAATTTGACCTCTGGATTTGTCTTCATGGTAAAAATGACTACCGTATGCAAAAATATGCTATTTTTGTGTTAAAATTCTGGGTTTTGTATTTTATTTTATTTTAAAATACCTGACAAGGGGAGTACAGATTTTCATAAATATTATATAAATTAAAATTGATATAGTATAGATAGTTAAACTTATTTAAATATGTTTGTTTCTTTTAAGTCGAGAAAAATAACTTTGAAATTTGAACTAGCTTAAATAGCCAATTTTTCAACCGCCGGAAGCAACGTACGGTTGCCGAGTTGGTAAAATTTATGTTTTACACGCTTGGGGTACGAGGTTCCAACCCGCATATGGCAATGAATTTTTTGCATTTTTTCTTAATTCTTTTTAAGTTAGTATAAATTTTAACTCGTTTGATTTTTATCACATTTAGATTCAATAACTTCAATAAAGATCAAGGATCCCATCACTTTAGTCGCCCCTTGCAAGAAGAAATTTCTTATTCGTATTAAAATTATTTTACTATATTTTAAGTTTTCGCTTCGATGCAAAGCCGAGAAGATATTTTTTTGTGACTATCATTTATTTTCTCTGCTCTAACTTGACCTACTTTTTTCAACAATACGTCAAATTACTACAATTCGTATCTAGTTGAAGATATTACTCTCAAAAATTGAAAAAAAAATTCTAATTTATCAATTAAACAGTTAGTTATTACATCGTCTCCATAAAGACAATTAAAATCATTAATTTCTAATGTTTTCAAAATATTTATTAACGAATGAAGTTTGATATGATAGGTTTCAACTACAAAATTAAATCATTTTACTTTGTAATTTAATAATTTTTTTACTCTATTTGTGTGTGCTACTACTAGACTATAATATTACAATTTTTTTTTGTAACATGTTGCTATATAAATCATTTCTAAAAAAAATGATTGTTTTTTCTCCTGAATTAACAATTGATTTTTACAAATATAATCAAATTTTATAATACACTCAATTGAGTAAATCTTTTTAACAACTTTGTTTTGATTGGTACATTTAGTTAAAGTAAATCATTAAAATTAATTAAGTTCTCAATATTTCAATTATAGAATCTTTTCAACAAACAACAAAAGTTCCTAGGAAATTATTACTATTACTTCTATTTAAGTTATCTATTACCATAAAAATGCAAAAAAATATTGAGCTTTTCTGATAAATTTACAATAAATAGTAATTATAAAACTTTCTGACTGCATATTGATCTTAACGATACAATTTTTTTAATTGTCATAAAATTTTCTATTTAATTATGTCAATGTCAAACTTACCAATTGAGCTAAAAGTTATGGTAAAATAAATTTTTTTTTTTTATTATAAACATTTACAACAATCAACTTTAAACGATTAACAAAATAGGTTAAATATGTCATTTTCCTTATTTTTAACTTATTAATAATCAAATTAATATTAAATATTATATCAAATCAGTATTAATTTAAAACAATTTTTTTTGTTCTTAATTATTTTTTTTTATATGTAAAAACTATTTTTTAATAATATTAAAACTTAGAAGTTATAGAAAAAGTCTAATTGCACATTTTAAAACATCGCGAAAAGTTGATTTAGAATAGTATATTTTTGTTTCTGATGGAAGTTCCTTGTAGTCCAGTGTATAAAACTTATAACTTTGTTAATTGTTATAACTTTATCAAAAATGACCAAATCAGTATATTTTTTTTTATTTAGATGCATGTCTTTATCTATCATTTGGTTTTTTTTATAAATCTAACCCTTTACCTGCCCACAAGAGGGATTCAAAATATTAACTTTTTTTTTTTTAGTTAAAGTAAATCATTAAAATTAATTCAGTTCTGGATATTTCAATAGTAGAATCTTTTTAAATATCAAAAATTACTTAGAAATGATTACTATGATTTCTATTTAAGTGTTCTATTACGATAAAAATGCAAAAAATAATGAGTTTTTCTGATAAATTTACAATAAATAATAATTATAAAACTTTCTGACTGCATATTAATCTTAAAAATAACATTGTTTTAATTCTCATAAAATTTTCTATTTAATGATTCATTCTAGTCAACGAAGGAGTAATTTTGCAGAATAGCAGAAAAAATTCCCAACAAACTTTTTTTTTTTTTGTTTTAATTAGGCAATTGGTGGATTATTCCAAAAGCAACATCAACTCTTATTTCTTTAATTATATCATGATTAGTAGTTCTTTGATTTTAAAATATAATATATGAATATATACTAATTATAATTATTAAATTTAGTATGAAATTGATATTTAATATTGTAATTTAAACGGAGAAATTATAAAAATAATAAAGAAGTTATATTTTGCTTTACTTTTACGTGTATAAAAATTTAAAGG